GTGTGTAAACAAAATTAGGGAGTGAAGTATCTGCTTCATGGGTGGCATTTCTCTACAAGTGCAACATGAGTTTTCTTGTAATCATGAAATTATAATGTCATTTATTACCTGGGTTACTCTTTATATAGCACTATATATTTTTTGACTCTATGTAGCACTAAAGATAGTTACGTTACATCACATAATGGGGACTGTAGTTTAAAAGGCAGAAATAAGCACATGCTTACCAAATAATTGCTTGTAATATACCTTGAAAATGAATCACATCATTCCAGCATCAACAGTACTTTAAATATTATATTCTGTAAATGTTATATTCTAGAGCCTGCATTAGTGGCATTGCAAACTCTTTTTAGCTTTCATAAGACTCATAAAATTGTAATATGAATGCTTGTTTATCCTGAATTACAAGAATGGTCAGGCTCTGGGGACAAAAGAATGGAAGAAGTGTCATGAAGAAGTTCTAAGGAGTTTGTAATATTATTGATAAAGTTGGTGGTTTTTTTCTTAAGGAGAAGCTGTCTTTTTCTTTTTTACTGTAAAATAGCACAGAGTAGGAGCCTAAATTCTATTTCCATATATTAAGAAAGTGGTTTTGCCATGTTTTTCATTTTCCCCTGAAAAACAAATGGAGCAGACAGGTCACAAGAACAAAATTGGTCTCTACAGTAAAGAACACATCAACCTCTAGGTTTTAAATACACTTTTGCAGTTCTGATGACCTAATTAAGCATAGTCTGATTGGTAATGCCATTACCAATTAACATGGTTTTTTGCTACTTCCAGAGAGTGGAATTTCTCACAAAATTCCCTCTAAGAAGGAATGCATCTGGTACTGTGAAAATATTTCCTGGGGAAATTGTTTGTTGACATCAACAGAATTCCATGTCTTAAGTAATTTTGGTTCAGGGGAAAGTTTTTAAACCTGGGTGTCCACTGCATACTTCCTTTTTTACATGTGGACCAAACAAGATGTTGTAACACGTCCAGGGTCATAGGGGGATTCAGAATTGCTACTTAAAGGATCAGCAGTCCTCCTACACGGAATCCTAGTGCCTTTGGCTCTTCCTAAACTCTTCCTCATTCAGTCCCACCCTTTTCCTGTACCCTCATCTTTTCTCTTTTACAGACAGACTGGCTGGATTGAATAGGCAGGAGTATCACTTGAAGCTCATCGTATATAAAGATATATAGATACAGATATATATGCCTTTTTCCTCACTATCCTAGGTGCTTTCTGCAATCCCCTTCAAACTTCAGATTTCATCTTGAGCTGATAAGGCACCACGTCTTTTCTTAGCCTTCCTGGGAACCACTGGCTGCTTTTACTGTGTCCTGTATGATGACGTTTTCAGACAATGCTGGAGCCACAATCCTGGAGCAGCCCCATGTTGCCAGTCTGTATACCTCGCTAGGCCATGGGGGAGAGCATGCGGCTGTCACCTCTCTAAAAATGCCGTGGCAGAACCAGGGCAACCTTCCCTTCTCATTTACAGGGCTGGCCAAGCTGTCACATCACTTACTAGATGGAGGAAGGACGTGTTACACAAGAACTCCACAAGAAATTCTAGATTTAGAGCAACTGAGGGTGTCTGCAGCCAAACCAAAGCTTCCCACAGCCAGCCATGAAATGCTGTTCTCATGCCATCTCATGGCTGACCTTCAGCCAGCAAAGGCGCATCAGTTTTGAACCAGTAGTAGCACGGCCAGTGTAAGAAAGCAACAGGTTCATCCACAAACAAAGTTTGTCTTTATCTGGTTAGAAAACATTTCTTGGTTCTGCTTTCCAGACCAGTTTCTCCTTAGGCACTCAGGCATGTCATGTCTAGGAATATACCTACTGGTTGCTTGAACCACAAACTGAAGAACAGAACTCTGTGTTTATTTCCTGGACAAGTAATCCCACCTTACCTTCTTCCCTCCTGAAAGCCTGTTTTCTCCCTCATTAACATCAGACAGCTGAGAAATCTTGTAGGATCAGATGTTAGTGACGCCCTTTCCAAATTCCCTTGGACCTGGTTCCTTTAAACTCAGGCGGTGGAGTGCTCATGCTGAAGAAAAGGGATGCTGTGGCCCGTGTCTGTAGTGTTAGATAATGCCTTTAATGAAGGGGACAAGGTAAATCCTGACAAGTATTCTTAGTCCTCATAAGAGCGCGGGAGCTGTGTTCTTGCTGCTTGGAGTCAGTGGTTCAGACAGGTGCATAATCTGATTGTACTGAATACACTGAACAGACGTAAAAAAAGTCCTTGGACAATCTCCAAAGCTAACTTCAGCACAGAGCCAAGAATTTGAGTGTTGGAAAGACCTGCCTGGCAAGATTGGAGGCAAGGGATGTGTCTCTAATAGCCATATGTGATGTACTGGGGAGTGGGAGGGAGGGCTGCTGTGTTATGTTAAGGCAATAGCTGAATGTCTGATCAGACACTTTCAGACGTTACTTGGGTGCAGATGGCTACAGCTTTCCCTGGTGGGGCTCAGTGTCACTTAGAATCAAATATTGCCAAATACCCAGTAAAAATACGGTATTTATAGCCTGTTGACACTTAACTTCTTTGGGGGCCTGAGGTTAAAGATTATGTTTTTGGTTTGGTTTAAGTTTTTTGTTTTTCACTCTACCGGTTTTGTGGAGACATGGGCATCCAAGAGCTGGCTCCCTTCTTGTTTCAGAAATTCCAACACAGTTTGGAGGTCCTGGGGGGAGAGAGAGTCCCTCTGGCCTGCCTTGGGAGGTTTTATTTCATCGTAGGAAACCGTGGAGAAGGGTGACATTTCTGAGGCCCTTATGAAAGTGCGTTCTGTCCATCAAGTGCCCTCAGATATTAGTAAAAGTCATATCTTTACATACGTTGTGCAGTAGAGAGCTGTCATAGGATGTGAATTTTCTAGATAGGTCAGGAGCAGAGCAGGTGTCATTTGAGCAGCACTGTAAGGCTGAAAAGAGGGTATTCCAATTGGGATGCTTTCACCACAGCACTCATAAGGAGCAAGCCAATGTGGGTGTGTCGATAATAAATAATCGTAGAATGAATCATAGAATGGTTTGGGGTGGAAGGGACCTTAAAGACCATCTAGTTCCAACCCCCCTGCCATGGGCAGGGACACCTTCCACTAGACCAGGTTGCTCAAAGCCTCATCCAGCCTGGTCATTGCAGTTTGACAGCTCCATGGCTTGTGCTTCAAAGTTAGACAGAACTCTTCTAGCTGTACTTGTCTCTTTACACACCTAATTATATCCCATGTGAAAAGAGAAGAAAATGAAAATTCATGCATGTTAAAACCCTCAACATTACCTTATAGATCTCAGCAAAGATGGAATTAAATCCCCTAGAGGATAGAGAATTTTGTGAATGGTGATTGTAACTGTAACTTTATATATAGGAACTTTTCATTTGTGTTGTGCTGCCTTTCCATTTTACCAGGAAGATCATAAAAAGTCATCAGAACCAAGCCTCTGGTCTTGTCCCTCTGTGCAGGCTTGAATCCTCAAAGCTTCCTCCTCAAATGTCATTTGAGAACAAATCCTGGCTTGTCTACATCCACTCTTCTTTCTCAACAGCTCCCTATATCCGCCCCTGGTTTTCAGAGCTGCCAAAACCGTTGTGATTTTCCTGCTCAAAAGACATCACATGCCGAGTAATTCTTCTTCTCAGCAATGCTTACTTACCAGTTGACTCAGTAACTTCCAAAAACTTCACGCTGCTCTTCCTTCCTCTCATCTCAGCGCTGTGTAGTGATGCATATGCTTCTGGCATCTGTAAAAACACTGTATCTGCCTACCACAGCTAGAGCCTCCTTTAAACTCAAAAGCAGAAAAAATGTGTGCAGACATTTTTCTCTGGGTACAGAATTTCTCTGTGACATAAAACACAGATAAGTCTCACTTACAGAAGATTAGAAAAAAATCGAAGAAAAGTCGTGGTGCTACCAAAGGAAGAAGTGGAGAAACAGTTGGATTGTATTTGGCAGAAGCCGTTATTGAACATACAGAAAGATTGTGCAGTTCTTTGTTCACAGAGCTCCCCAGCCTCTGAGCTCTTATGGGAGCCGATCCTGGAATCTGGGATGTGGCCTCTAGGAAGACAAATAGAAAATGCTGCCCAAAATACAGACAGATTTACAGCAATTTTGTTTCTTCAACAGTGTTTACTCAAGTTGTAGCATTGGACTGTTAAATCAGACATCCAAAAGCTGGAGCAAAGCATCTCAGCTAGCTTGTCTGTATGTAAAGGGCTATATGGAAATGCACCTTGAGAACTGGGTCGTAGTGGTGAATCTGCTCACAGACATTGAGCTAGGAGGAGCATATTCTTCATACTGGCTACTCTCTGTTTCCCCAGTGAATGTAAGAGAATTTGTCTTCCTAGCTTCTAAGCGGAATTGCGTTACTCACCAGAGTGGTTAACCTGGGTCTTCATATGGTAGGTAAGTGATCGTATTAGGAAGGCAGAGCTGGTGCGTGGGAGTTCAGGGCAGATATATATGTATATAAGACAAGCTGACATTCACACAAAAGGAAAAAAAGTGATTCAAGCCCTGTTTCCTGTAGCTTATAAGGGCAGAAGAGATGTTTCACTCTGATGGTTGATTACTTCCGTGTCAAACAGACACTATGATCATGAGGGTAGAAGTTAAATAGATTAGGGCAACTAAGAAAAACATACCTCTCGTAAAAAGAGAGAATGACAGACATGTAAAGTAAGTCAGTCTTCGGTCCCTTCACCCAGAGACAGTTATGTCCTATGACCCTTCGCAAAGCTGAAGACATGAAGTGACTGAACCAAATTAGTAAGTAGTCCCAACAATTACCGAAAAGCACAGTAACTTCAACTACTGAGTGATTTAGAGTAAGTCCCTATGGATGTCAGTGAATTTTTGTTAACACTCGTCCCAGCCAGCATTTTAGCAAGAGAGTCCAGTCTGACATCCCAAGGCAATATTTTTACTGTGAAGTTTTACTTTTGCTTTAATCGTAATGTTTCTATTACACTGTTTTTCAGGCCCTGATTATATCAAACAAAAATTTCAAGAAGGAGTGGAGGTGAAAGAAAAATCAGAAGAAAAAGTTCAGGAAAAACCACCTACCCCAAAAGAGTCACCTCACTTTTATCGGAAAGGTACTACACCCCCTCGAACCCCAGAAGCAAGTCCAAGGCATAGTCCTCCTCTTTCTTCTGAGCCTTCTCCTTCAAAACAGCTGAAAAGGCAAAGCTCCACTTCTGGGGCAAGACTCAGTCAAGAAAAAAAGCTTTTAGCCACTGAGAATGTAACACCCACAGTTAACAAGCCTTTATATTCAAAAGCACCAGTGAAGGAGGAAGTCGCTGTGAAACACCAGCCAAAGCTTTCAGCCCATCACAATCCCATCAGCACGGAGAATGGGGAGCTGCATGGTCACTACCATAGCTATTATGTAAAAATGAATCCACCAGTGCTTCCACAGGAGCTCAGGGAAGAAGATGAGTATGTCAACCCATCACCGTCAACACTTGCACGGATACCACCCTCACAGAAGCCAAGTCCTGCTAGATCTGGGGGTCAGCCAGATGCCAAAGAAAACAAACCCGACACAAAAATTAAGAAAACAGAATTTGCTGCACCAAAGAACCCAGCTAATAATGAGTCACATTCAGCAGTGGAAAAAGCAGTAGAAAACAGCTCGGTGAGTACCGCAAGAAAACTTTTGACTTTCACTGCTTATTTGCCTTCTAATGCTGAGCTTTGCAACCTCACTCCTGTCAAATCTTCATCTGGGTACAGTCTGCTAGCTAGAACCCACTCCACCAAACTGGAATGAGGAACAAGTATTCCAGTCCTTTGTGTTATGTGTTTTGAAAGCCGGGAAGGGATAGTTGATAGTCAGATGCTGACAGACTTTTGCAACATAAATCCCTACTGCATCCATAGACATAAAAGTGTGTTTGTGTGTGCATTGGGGTGTGTGTGTGTGTGTGTGTGTGTATATATAAAAATACAGGTGTGTTTTGTGTGCATGTAGATACATATATGCAGAAACACATGTATGTATATCTTTTTTTTTTTTTTCTCCCCTCAAAACAGTGTTCATTGTACTTCAGAGGTGATTGGGCAGTACAGGGAGTTAACTCATTCTCTTCCCCAAAGGTCTGCTTTTAACTACTGTTGAAGACAGGATGCTGGCCTGTGGTCTGACCCAGTCCAGACAATCTCCTATTTGCATATTCTTCTCTGTGTTGATTGTAGGCTTTAAAAACAGGCAATTCTGCATCATAGAATCATAGAATCAT